TTCACCATGTTGACCAGGATGGTCTCGATCTCTTGACCTCGTGATCCACCCGCCTCGGCCTCCCAAAGTGCTGGGATTACAGGCTTGAGCCACCGCGCCCGGCCTTAATTTTTTTTTTGAGATGGAGTCTTGCTCAGCCACTCAGGCTGGAGTGCAGTGGTGTGATCTCAGCTTACTGCAACCACTGTCTCCCGGCTTCAAGTGATTCTTCTGTCTGTCTCTGAGTAGCTGGGATTACAGGCACCCACTATCATGCCTGGCTAATTTTTGTATTTTAGTAGAGATGGGCTTTCACCAATGTTGGCCAGGCTGATCTTGAACTCCTGACCTTAGGTGATCTGCCTGCCTCAGCCTCCCAAAGTGCTCTGATTATAGACATGAGCCACTGTGCCTGGCCTTTTTTTAGGGGGCGGGGGGAAACAATCTTGCTTTGTCACCCAGGCTGGGATGCAATATCCTCTCACTGCAACCTCTGTCTCCCAGAATTCAGCGATTCTCCTGACTCAGCCTCCTGAGTAGGTGGGACTGCAGGTGCCCACCACCACATCCAGCTAATTTTTTGTATTTTTTTAGTAGAGACAGTGGTTCACCATGTTGGCCAGGGTGGTCTCAAACTCCTGACCTCAAGTGATCGGCCCACCTCAGTCTCCCGGAGTGCTGAGATTATAGGCATGAGCCACTGTGCCCGGCCGATATTGACCATTTTGTCAAATAGTAATTTAAGTCATAATATTTGTCAAGATTGCACTTGAAGGTTTCTGTGTTTGGTACAATGCTTAGAACGTTCTTCTTGACCAGGGTTATTTAAACACACACATATACTTTTGTGGTTTTGCTTTTTTAAATGTAATTTTTATTCTCTTTGATTTATTTTGGTTTAAGATATTAGGTAGGAATACACATTTTTAAAAGTATTTTTTCAATAGTTGCTTAGCACTGTCCTTTGTTTCCTCACTACCTTTCCTTTTAAAATACAGCACTATGTTTTAAATGGCACTATTCCATTGTCTTACCCAACAGAATTAGCAATATTTAATTTTATTTAATATCCAGTTCATATTCAGATTTCCCCTTTGTCTTACAATGTTGTTTTCATTTGTTTTGTTCAAATCTTGATCCAAGCAAGGTCCCTGCTGTGGGGATTCACTCAGGGTGGTGGCAAAAATATTAAAAGAAAAATATTAGAGAAAGTTACAGAATATAGTTGCAAACCTTCTTGGAAGGCCAAGAATTTTGCATAGTTTCAGTAGAAGTTTCAACCAAAGGCAGCCTAAATCCCCTTTACATTTAATTAATAAGAAAAACAAATAACTAAAGTATATAGAGGAGTTTATCTCTATAACTTGTTTACTCATGTAGTCTTAAAACTAACCTTTGAGCCAGACAGCCCTCTCAGCGGGAGGTTGACCAAGGAGATTACCCTCTACTGGTGTTTGCTTTAGGCATTGGAACCTGTCCTTTAATCTTCAGCTTTTAGTAGTGTTGACTCAAGCCTTTGTCAATTAAACTTTACTGAATAAATGCAAGTCTCATTGACTGAGGAAGGCCGGTGGCTGCTATCTCTCTTTATAGCATTCTCCAAGGAGTCTGTCAGTGGCCACAGACACCTAGCCTGCTCATTCACTGTATTCTGTGTGTGAATAAATTTATCATCTGTTGCTGAGTCAGGGTCTGCAGGACCCACCCCCACGCCCCACAAATGGCTCCTTTACCTCCTCCCCTTTTTTTGTTCTTTTTTTTTTTTTTT